AAATGCTTGACATTACACTCCTTATGGGAGCTATTCCCAAGGCCTAGATTAAGTCATAACATAACACAAAGCATTGCCTTGTTTCTCTGTAGGTTAGGATTTTCAGTAATTTCATCAGAACAAAACAATTCAGCTGGACTTTTTTAAAGCATTCTCGTCATGCAGTGCTTCTCTTTTTATGGAAAAAGGAGCATGTTTCAGAAGGATAAGATTCCAGTGAGGAGGAAAAAAAGCAATGGAAAATGCTTTGTGTTTTTAGAGCAACAGCAGGGCAAAGAACCGGAAGCAAGAAAAGATTAACCCCAAGCAGAGCACAGACTAAAGACTTGTGAAAAAGATCTGTGATCAGAAGGCTGGAAAACAAGTTCAGGAAATAAGATGGACTGGGAGAGGGAGCTCCCACCAGAAGTTAGCCAAACAACGAATTGGAATCTCAGCTTCCAGAGACATGAGTGATATTCCTCTGGAGCAGGAAAGCAACTAACTGGGTGCACAGTACCTCCCAACTCAGGTCTTACACTTGCTGTACTCTCTTTCCATCCACATTGTAAGCTAAAGAGCCTCCACTTTACCTGGAGAGAATAAACTGACGTATAACTCATGAGATAAGAATCAAGACAGAAGAGCCTGGCAAAAATTCATATTTCCTTGAATTCATTTGTCTACACTGGGTGAAAGCTGAGCCTGGATGTTTTCTTGCATACAGTGTATTGCTTGCATACAAGCATTTCTTTGAGCAGAGGAGTAATGCAGCAGGTTGGCTGCAGGTCTGCATTCCAAGTCTGAAGCGATTTTGCACAGATTTAAAAGCCTTCTGTGGAACTGAGCTTGCATTGTCTTTCAGTGCTGTTACAACACCTGACTGTAGGCTAATGCACAAAATCCATACTCACAAAGCAAGCAAAGTCTTCAAATACTGCAAGGTCTGCATTCACTCTTATACCTCCTTAGTTCACAGCTGCACATATACAAAAATAGCCCTGAAGTAGTTTACCTAATGAATCAGTCCAGTGAAAGAATACTTTACAAAGGCACATACAAAATGTATACTATCCATTTTTTTCCTAACGAAGGAAAAACAAATCTTTCGGAAACATCTGGCTTCCCAGAATCTGTAGGAAGTCCCTGGTTAACTCCCTCCTCAGTAGCTTGTTACCTTGAATTAGCAGTGTTATAATAAAGCAGTAGACATCATCGTGACCAGGGAAACGACAGTGACAGATAAAGTATTTGTGGAAAAAAAAAATATGCATATGCATCTGTTTAGAATGAATTTTATCAAAAGATAACATCTGATCTCAGTCCTACTTAATTATATATAGTTAACACAAAATTAAGTAGAGATATACAAGTGAGAGGAAACTGGGAGGGGAGAGGAAACTAGGGAGGGTGGAAAAGAATTGTTTCTAAATTTTCATCCAGAAAGCATTATCAACAAATCTCCCACTTTGAATTGCATTTTGAGCTTAAGAGAACACTGACATTTTAGTTAGACAGTTCTTCAGCAGCTAAACCTAGGAACTACAGGTTGGTGAGCATCACATCTTTGCATGGGAAGATCACAGAACAAACCCTCCTGGAAGATATGTTAAATCACATACAAGAAATGGAGATGATCACAACACAGTTTCACAAAGGGCAGTGTATAATCAAAGAATATTAGGATGTTATAACCACAAAATAAACAAGAGTTAGGCAAAGCAGACTATGGTAACAAAAGAGAATAAATAGAAGGCTTACCCCTATCCTAGGCTCACTCACAAAACACCAGAAGGAGGGATCTCCAGAATAGATCCTTCCCTTCTGGTAGCCAGCTCTTAAATAGGGCTAGGAGGGGTGCAGCTGAATTGCCTTCACCTGTGCTGCTCTGGCTGACTCATGGCTCGCCTCAGGTGATCAATCAGAGGTTCAGGCCGTGACTCAGCAGTTCCCATACAGGCAGATTGTGGCTAACCAATCTGTAGGCCTCCTATGGAGCAATGGACAATGTAAGGGCAACTGATGTTGTCTACCTGAAGTTGTGCAAGCCCTTTGACTTGGTCTCACCCTGCATCCTTATCTCTAAATTGGAGAGAGATGGATTTGAAGGCTGGACTGTTTGGTGGATAAAAGTTGGTTGGTTGGATGGTGGTAGCCAGAGGATTGTGGACAACAGTTCTAGGTCCAGTGGAGGCCAGTCATTAGTGGTGTCACCCAGGGACGCCACGATGTCATCACTACTGGTCTTGGAACCAGTGCTTTTCAACATCTTTATCAATGTCATTGACAGTGGGATTGAGGACACAAGAGAAGGAGGGAATGCTATCCAGAGGGACCTGGCCAGGCTTGTAAAATGAACCAGTGAGAACCTGCCTGTCCAGAGAAGCTGTGGATGCCCCATCCCTGTAGGTGCACAAGGCCATGATGGATGGGGCTCAGGGAAGCCTGAACTGGTGGGGGGCAGCCCTGCCCTTGACGATGGAATGGGACCAGATGGACTCTGAGATCCCTTCCAACCCAACCCACTCTCTGATTTGATGATCTGTCAGATTCAGGACAGACTACAGACAAAACTCATTTTTAAGATATTTGCTGCCACCTTGTGTCTGAACACCCATTTCCCCTCTGATATATTCTATGATATTAAAATCATAGAATCGTAGAACAGCCTGGGTGCAAAAAGGACCACAATGATCATCCAGTTCCAACTCCCTGCTATGTGCAGGTCACCAAGCAGCAGCCCAGGCTGCCCAGAGCCACATCCAGCCTGGCCTTGAATGCCTGCAGGGATGGGGCATCCACAGCCTCCTTGGGCAACCTGTGCCAGTGCCTCACCTCCTCTGGGTGAAAAACTTCCTCCTAATATCCAACCTAAACCTCCCCTGTCTCAGTTTAAAACCATTCCCCTTTGTCCTATCACTATCCACCCTCGTAAACAACCATTCCCCCTCCTATTTATACATTCCCTTCAAGTACTGGAAGGCCACAATGAGAGTCGGACTCTATCAAGAGGAAGTTTTCCTTTTCCTTGTAAGGCACAAAGCGATGGGATGATTTCCCACGCCTGCAGAAAGCCTGATGTGCTGTGCCACAGGTGACTGAGGGAACCAAAAGCTGTGCTGCCCATTCAGAAGCACGTGGGGCATGGGCAAGGGGGGGTTACACACCAGCACGTGGGATGTGAACGTTCCTTGGGCACCTTTTCCACCGTAAGAGAAATCCCTTTTCTCTGCCATGCCATGTCCCTACCTGCTCCGCAAGGCTGTGTGACAGTCAGCACAGAAACGACCCAAGCGTTCCTTTGTCATCACGGCGGTTTTCAACAGATCCACATGATGTTCAATCACATAATTCATCCTGCAATCACATGAAGCTTATTACTTTGAAAGGAAATGGCCAAAAACACTGGGTTTTGTGGTTGAAATAATCTGCTACAGAATACCATTCAGTCACCTTGTTACTATCTGGCTCACACTTGTCATTCCTTTCTGTCTTTAATTTTGGGAATAGTTCCCTCTCCCCTAAATATTTATTTCCATGGAAACTGCAACAGACAGAAAGAAAAAGTACAATAACACTATTTGATAGAGCAAAAATTCTCAGCTACAAAACACTACTTTGCAACACAGTCACACCAGTAGCTATGGACATCGTCACCAGTGATGAACAAGAGCCTGCATCTCATGCCTCTAAATCTGCACCAACGGAGGTGACCCACTGTCGCTGTCACCACTGCTGAAATGCAGCGTTCACTGCCTCACTGTACTCACATCCACTGTTTGGTCTCCAGAAACATTCAACAAGTGTCAGTGAATGTGGGGGGTGCCATTTTTTCCACATGGAGGAATTTCCAGACTGCCCCTCTGCTGCCATCTGTAGCACAGGAACAAAATGCGACGGGATTTCGGTGTCAAGACGTTGTGGGCCAACATAATAGAATAGCAAGCATTACTTTCAGGCCACCCAACATAATATCCTGTTACCGAAACATCTCGAAGGAAAACACATTTGGAATCTGGAATCTGTAAAAGGGAACCTCAAATAATGATGAAATATTATAGCATCAAGATGATTATCTATGACAGAAGGACTGGATTTTCAAAGAGAAGCATATTTATGCAGACTCTGTGTTGCAAATTCTAGGAAACTGTGTTGGGATTTTGTGCGTTTACACGTGTGTGTACGAGGCAGTGATCAGGAAAAAGTTATTCTCAAGTTTTCAGTATCTGCTTACGTGAATGAAAGGTGAAAGATTCTGCGTGAGATCCCTGCTCTATTTCTTTAGAAATCTTTCCATTGTTAAGGTGCTACAGATGAGATCTGTTCTAGGACATCTCATAATCAAAGGATATTAGTGCATCATTCCTACTGTAAGAACTTAAGATAAAAGTTTTTTCAAAGCATTTTTCTTCAGGCATCCCCATCCCCTCCTCGTCCTCACCCTTATTATACTCCCAGGGAGGGAGATGCCCAGCCCCCAACTTCAACCATGTCTGGGTTACAGGGACAGTCTTTCCCAAACCCACCAATTGTCATTCTATCTGCTTGGAATTTGGTTGGATCACCATAAGCAATTGATGTTTCTGCACCCACAGGTTGGTTTTCCCCTCTCCTGGCAGGTCAAGACACACTGCAACCTTTTGCAGATGATACCTTTTTATCTTTCTGACCATTAGTCAAACCTCCAGCATCAGTTAATGCTCTCCTACCTCTGCCCACTTACACCAGTTATCACAAACCAAATCCTCAGGAAACGTAGGCTTTGGGTGGATCTCACATCTTGGTAATTGTGTGGTGGCTCTCTTGGTCATCCTGCTGACTCCACCAATTTGGCATCACAGGAAGTGACAACTGCATTTCACTTGGTTCTACTGAGAAGCCATGCAAGAGTTACTGATAATTTAATGATATTGATAATTTTTAGCTCAGTCTAACGTTATGACAGCACTTAATCATTAAACAAGGAGGAGTCCAGTCATGTGATTTAATGAAATACACGATAATTAAACAGAGGCCTGAGTACAGATTCAGAGATGACAAGATCCAACTCACTAACAGGATGCCCTACGTCTATGTACAGATACAGACAGAAAAGGACAGACAGAAATATGTGGATCAAGTAAAGCAACAAAAACCCTTGTGCAACAAATGCGTATAATTAAAGGGCATAAACAAGTAGGGAGGTGGATGTAAGAAGAATGAGCTGGCCTCTGCTCACGGTTACCCTCACCTTGAACGTAGAGCAGGCATTCACCAAGCACTGCCATTCCTCAGCAGATGACAACTGAGGCTGACTCGAGTGGCAGGACTTTGCCCCGGCTTCCATTGATCCACAGCCCCGAGGATTTGGTCGTCCCTGAGAGGCGTCCCAACCCAGGTTGGGCCAGGTGCTTGTACAGAGCAGCTCCATGGATGGTGCCACCTTCTGCTCCTTAGCGCCAGCGGCACAAACGCCAGCACTTGCTGGCCTCACCAATTCCGTGCTGCCCCCTTGGCCAGGATCCAGAGGAACGGGTGCACGGCCCCTGAACTCTGAGCAGCAGGGAAATCAGGAGAACAGAATGCAGGCGCTGCTGATTTTGACCAGTTTGCTTTCAGACACGTTGCACAGTTTCAGGAAAAGTGTCCCCACAGTATAAGAAAGAAAAGGAACAAGGTTGGTTGAAAAGAAATAGGGTTGGTTTTAATTGTTTTTGGTTGTTGTTTGTTTTAAAATACACAATCAGACTACGGTGTTACACTGTCAATGATGTCTGACAGTTCCTGAAGGAGCTCGTCCGTATCCTTCTCACTGTCCATGTCAATGTCTCCTATCTCATCTCCAATGATTTCCATCATCAACTTCTCGATGTCATCATCCTCACAGACGAGCGCTTTCCCTGCCTCTGTGCAGCTCAGCTGCTGCATGTGATGTGCTGCTTGTGAGGCACAAGGCACAGCGTCTGCCACAGAGTCTGCCTGGCTTCCCAGAAGCAGTTCCAGACTGGGGAGAACAAGGAAGAGAACAATCAGCACCTGACATTTCTAACTGCAGATACGCTTTCAGCTACCAGCTCTGAGATCTGTGGTTAACCCCTCCCGCACCTCACGCTCGCATAGGGATGGCGATTCAGTTAACCTGAGGCTGCCTTTAGAGTACAAGATACCAGAAGGCACTTTTCACACAGTGGGAATTGATGTGTACAGATCGAGCAGTTTGAGTCCAGCCAACAGGGGCCAGGTAGCAGAAGCACACTGCCAGCCTCATTGTTAGACTGTAAATGCGTGAAGAAGTCATCCTCTGCATAAAGCTGTTTACTGACTGAGTTCCTTCTCCCCATGACATACTCAGCAGAGATTCTGAGTGAGCAATTTAAGTTATTGCAGATGACCTCTTTGTTGGATTATGCCACGGCACATCTCAAACACCCCATTTGTCCCCTGGTGTGAAAGAACTTATGTCCAATGTAAAAATGGCACTGACAAAGAACAAGTTGTGGTCATCACCTGCTCGGAGGTGTTTTAACTGCAGCAACGGTCACCAGGCTGTCCCCAGGCAGGGCTGGAACGATGGCCTAGGAAGAAACAAGACAGTGTGTATGAAGCACGGCTCAGAGCTTCCTAAGTAGCTTCTTTTCCCAGAGAAGCTGTGGATGCCCCATCCCTGCAGGCATTCAAGGCCAGGCTGGATGGGTTTCAGGCTGTCAGATCTCGTGGCTGGCAGCCCTGGCCACAGCAGGACAGCTGGAACACTGGATGATCTTTGAGGACTGCTCCTCCATCCCCTGGGCACTGCTGAGCCTGAACCCAAATACAGAAGCACGGGGCTCCTGAAGAAAGCCTTCTCTTGAGGGTTACAATGACCTGGGGTGCTTTTAACAGCGCAGCATTCGTGGACAAAATCCTTCACACCACAGAGCAATCTGAGAATTGTAGAATCACAGAGTCTTACATAATCCTTGCGCTACATCTACCCAAAATAGAGGTCTCCCACAAGTACCCTGTGAGACACCTGCTGCCTTCAAAGGAAACAGCAGACCTGCAGAACACTTGAAATGTCTACCTTGACTTCAAGTGCAGTGTAAACCTTCCGTATGCACTGCTGCTGTTCTGCTGCTCTTACCCTAGGCAGTTTTCGGGCTGGGGGCTCATCGGTGTCCTCAGCAGCAGACGGTTCCATGTCCGCTGCCTTCCGCTTCAGTGTCTGCTTCGTGGGGAAGGTGGATTTCCAAGCAGCAGACCTGAGGAACACCTTGCGTCCAGCTGAAGTAAAAGGAAGAGGTTGCTGATAAGGTCTTGCTCTGCCTCAAGAGAAATCCCCGTTCTCCTATCATTCCCACAACCCAACCCACAACAGAGCTAAATACATTTGGCCAGCTGAATTACATTGCCATGCCCAGGATTCTCAGCAATGTTTTGCACACAGCCATCTCTACCAACAGCGCATCGAAAGGAACAAAGAAACCCACGAGCTGCACTCAGCAATAGTCCAGGGCAAGGAAAACTCTGACACACAACAATGCTGAGTGGCAGCATGACTGTGCTGAGGCACTGCAACAAGCTCCTGCTGCTCACCCTTGATTCTCTTCTTGAGAGGCAACTCGCTTGCTTTGGCCTTCTCCTCACATCGCTTGCGCTTTTGCGCAGCCGGGCCATGGGAGGAAGATGGGATGTCACCTGCAGAGAACAGTCCAGGAGAGAACAATCAGAACGTGGGAGTAGAAAGGCAGCGCCTCAAACCCAGATGCCTGTTCAGTGTCTGTACCTCTCGCGGCTGCCTTCTCAACCTCTGTCTGGCTCTCCAGACTTTCTGCAGGGCCGCTGTTCAGAGGAAGGCTCGTGTCAGCTTCTGGCAGAAAGGAGACAAGAAATAATTGAAGAGCATCTCTTTGGAGGAAGGTTTCAGCACACCAAGCCACAAGCTTCCAGTGTTCAAGCATAGTTTCTTGCGTTTGCCTTTCCCCTGCTCAAACGTTGTGCCATTTCTGCAGTCGGCACAGACCTGCAATGCATTTACCCCTCTCCAGAAAACACCCACCCCTATTCTGACAGCCAAAACACAAACCAATATTTCACTTATCACCGCTCTTCCTTGCACTCCCCAATGAATGTTACCTGACATCCTGCACCCGCTCAGAAGTAATAGTCATCATTAAGTCTTTCGTGCTTCATGCCATCAGGAACTCACCGTCACTTGGTGGTACAGTCGGTCCATTCCCACTGCGTTCCTTCAAGTGAAGGAAAGGGCAGTGGGCCTTCTGACAGCCTCCCGGCTGATTCTCCCAAAAGCAGGGAATCTCACTGCGCTTCTTCTGAAGAGAGAAGGAAAGGAAGGGTCATGGAAACAGGCCAAGGAGGTTTGCAGACAGATGCAGCGCTGCAGCTCGTGCCAGAGAGAAGCGGAGAGCTCATCTTTAGGCAAACACTCACATCAATTTTCGTGTGTCTCAGCCTGCAGTCGCTGCTGGAACAGCGACCCTGCATCCACAGCTTGCAGACCTCTTCACTCCCCAGAGCTGCTTCGCAGTGGCGGAATGGACAGCTGTCTCCCTGCCAGCAAAAGGAAAATAAGGGCACAGCCTGAAACACGTCCGTGCTGTCGGCCCAGGTTGGTAGCAGGGAGCGCACAATGCCACCGCTGATGAAGGCAACGCATCGCCAGCAGGTCTCCCCCTGCTCCACCCCTTCCTCTTCAAAGCAGGGAAAGGAAGGAAATCCAGGCAAAAGACACCCAACCATACCTTAAAGCAGACAGAGTTGAAATAGAAGTGGCAGTCGACTCCTTTCCGAGGCATGGGGAACTTCTTGGAGCAAGTCCCTCTCCAAAGGAATTCCCCGCTCTTGGAAAGAGGCGGCTGCACTCTGGGACTGCTTGGACCCAAGATCACCTTTCAGAGTGGAACCTAAGGAAAGAGTCAACAAGGGAAGAACCATGAGGAATAAGCATTTTCCCAGCTTTCTTCTTTTATGCTGACTTTCGAGGAGTCTCAGAAGCAGCTGGTTGCAAGAACTCTGCCAAGTCTAGATCCAACTTGTGTCTAACTGCCACGACTTCTCCCACCAAGCACTGTCCTCCATCTCACCACCAGTTATACACCTAGCAGCACACATTTTGCGTTCCTGACATGAAAATGACCCCCTTCAGCTTCTCCTCTTGCTGCAGCTGCAATGGATGCACTGGTACGACTCCCACGTTTGACAAACCTACAGTTCTGGCTTACCAGGCACAGCTGCAGTCCCTCTCCCTTCCAGCTCACACTCCAGCCCAATGGCTGAGCAGCACCGTCAGCGAGAGCGGGCAGCACCCGTCAGCCTCCACCACTCTCACTGCCAGCCGGGACGAGAGCTGACGCAGCGTGTCCACACTGCTGCGCAGCGCTCACGGCTGTGGCACTCACTGGTGGCAGCCACGGCCCCAGCACAGTGCTTGTGATGTCACCGTGCCTGTGATGTCACCGGACAGTGCATGTCCCCAGCTGAGCACCCGGCTCTCCACCGGGACTTCAGGGGGGTTTTGGTAAAAATGGGCTGCATACGGCACAGCCAGCGCTCCGTGGGGCATTAAAGCACAAGTTGCACTGCATCAAGTCTGTGCTCTTCTTCCTTTGTCCTGTCTGAGATGAAGGCTGGGGCCCAGCAGTAGTTTTGTAGTGGCAAAGCTGTGTGGCAATGGGCAGCCACAGCTTGAGGCAGTGATTGAGCACCTGGTGGGAAGGCAGGGCAGCTCAGGTGCACGCAAACTCTTCCCAGACATCACTGAAGGGTTGGCAGTGGAGGCAAGGGTGTCTGACTGCAGATCCCTGCTACCTGAGGCCTTCCAAGGCTCAGCAGCTTTTTTCCTTTCTTTCTGTGTCCGCAGCTGCTGCACTTGAGCAAATCCTCCCTTGCTGCAGCCTAGGACTTTGCCACCCTGTTGTTACTGCTGCACTTTCCGTGGCACTGCAGCGTTACACAGGGGAGTGACGGCAATTCGTCATCCTCACCCAAACGGGTGACTGAATCTCTCAGAGAATCAATTTCCCCTGGAAACAGCCATTGGGAAGGGCCTCGTTTGAGCTGGCAACTCCCCCCCAGCCCAGCTTTGCTGCTGAGACTCCTTCCAGCCACCACGCAGCACCAAGCCCAGCTCACCTCTTGGTCCAGGTCAGTCCAGGCTGTGCCCAGGTCACACACTCGCCAAAGCGGTGCTTCTGACGGGCTCTCAAGGATGATCCCTTCCACAAAACGCTCAGAGCTCAGTCTCTGTGTGCCACTCGCTCACTAGAGCACCAGCTCTGCTCGCCAGGAGGGCCAAGCCCTGCCACCCCAGCAACGACTGTGACCTCAGCACGGTTCCGCATCACTCCTGCGCTTTCATTCTAAGCAAAGGAAGCGCACACCTCCGAGATCCAAATTCTAAGAGACCGACACAAGGGTCACCCAGTGGGGTTATTGGAAGTAAGATAACAGAGAAATTAAGGTGACTCTGTGCAGCCATCTCGGGTCAGCCTCTCACTCAGGCTCTGCACGACTGCACCCAGGAGATGTTGCCTTCGGGCTGCCTCCTGCTTGGAGGCCCGAAGGATTTGATCTTCCAAACAATCAGCAAGCATTTGGATGAGCCAGCCCTCTGGTTTTTACGCAGACACACACGTCCTGCTTGGGAAGCCGGCGCGGCCAAGGCAGAATAGCTCTGGCCGTGGGCCGCAGCACTCCATGGCAAGGCGCAGCTCCAACTCCTGGGCTGCATTTCCTCCTGGGCTCCCGCGCACGCTCTGGCTCTCCTGCAGCTTTCTGCAGGTTTTGTGGCTTCCTGCTGGGGAGCTCCTCACGTTCTTCTGCAGCTGCGCCCCGACATCATTACTGCCACCTCTGGTACCGCACCAAGAGATGCCTCAGCGTGCATCAGCCTGGACTTCCTGCTCCCATCAGCAGCTGCTCCCACGCCGACCTTCATCCATAGTGCGACCCTGGCCACTTCCAGCACGAGCTGCCCTGCAAGGCAGAGAAAGGAAACGTGGGATTAGCACAAACACGGAAGCCCAAGGCTGTGTCACCACCTCCTATTGCAGTCTTGGGGAGTCAGCTGCAACTGCAGCCTTTGTCTGAATTCAAACAGGCACCTTAGATTAAGTGGGACCTCTGAACTGAATAATTGCCACAATCAGAAATAGACACTGAAATTGCTTGCTGGAGTTCAAATTTGAATTCTTGTGCCTTTTGGAAAATATGCACTTGGAATTGAAGGATACAAGAAAAAGGGCATCTTCTTCACTGTAGGCGGTAAGGGTTGGAAGTCAGACTCTAACAAGAGGAAGTTTTCCTTTTCCTTGTAAGGCACAAAGCGATGGGATGATTTCCCACGCCTGCAGAAAGCCTGATGTGCTGTGCCACAGGTGACTGAGGGAACCAAAAGCTGTGCTGCCCATTCAGAAGCACGTGGGGCACGGGCAAGGGGGGGTTACACACCTGCACGTGGGATGTGAACGTTCCTTGGGCACCTTTTCCACCGTAAGAGAAATCCCTTTTCTCTGCCATGCCATGTCCCTACCTGCTCCGCAAGGCTGTGTGACAGTCAGCACAGAAACGACCCAAGCGTTCCTTTGTCATCACGGCGGTTTTCAACAGATCCACATGATGAGACTTCAGTTTGCTGTGCGGCTCCTGGCTGACACCACCATTTCCAAGCCATTGCTTCCTAGGGGCAAATAAAGGAAAACACTTGAATGAAATTTCATGCAGAGATTGCGCATCTCACCAATCTTTTACACAAACCACAATGACCAAACAGGAGATGTGTGCAGCAGCATCAACGTCCCAGCTGATGAAGGAAGGTAGAGACAAATATCAAACTTCAGAACATTGTTCTAACACAACAAGGGAAGCTTTGTTTTACAAAATATTAACAAACAAACAAACAAACAAGCCCTCAGTCCCTTTTTGGGAGCCAGGATCCCACACAGAATTCTGTGTCCCCCTTGGAATGTTGGGTTCTCTCCCTGTGTTCCTGAGTTCTTGGGGCACTCATTGGGCTCCATGTTCCACCTACCACCCTTCTGAAGACCATTTGATATCTTTACTCAGCACTGCCCCTCTTCCCTTATTCATCCCAAGGGATGCTCACCAGCACCCGCCCAGGCTCCAGCTCCTTCACCGTGTGGAAGACATGGACTTTGGCACCAATGGCACTGCCAGGGCTGCCCTGGATGAGGACACAGAAGGCATTCAGCACGAGGGCTGTCCACGTCCCTGTTTCAAGTCAAGGATGTTGTGTGTCATCTCATGCCCTCAGCACTTTTAATATTTGTGCTAACAAAAACGCTGAGGAAAAGGTTGTGCCTTACGGACTCTCCTGAGCCAGGGCTGGCATGAGCAGCACTTACTATCACAAATTCCCCCTGAAACAGCTTTTCCCTACAAGACTGATGTGTTTCTTCATGAAACCATCAAAGGAAAAGCACATTTGTTTTTATCCCTTTTTCCAGCCACTGGCTTTAGGGTATTGCCCCCATGTGCAACAGAGTAAAACTCAACCATCACTGACCTGTGAATCCTGCAGTACCGGAGACACGGAGCACCTGTTGAGACCGATGTCTTTCAAGCAGGTAAAAGGAGTTCTTCTTTAGTTTAGGAAGTAATTGTGAAGGTGCCCAGGACAAACTCTGGCACGGTGAGAGCAGAATCCCCAGTTGTTCCCTACTGGGAAGTCCAGCCATCCTTAGAGGGGCTATCTGTGCTCACAGCCAGCAATTTCTCCTGTTGTGTCCAGAAATCTGTGTCCCAGCACTTTGGGCAAGGGCCTTGTCAGGAGGTAGGAAGTAATGGCATAGCTCTGGGTCATCAAAATTGTTCTCTTCCAAGGGGGACAAGGCTGAAGATCATGTTTCATACTGTCCTCCGGTTACAAATATTCCAGTCATAATTCTGTACCACGTAGAAAACCACAAGGAGAGAACGAGAGCCCCTGAACTCTGAGCAGCAGGGAAATCAGGAGAACAGAATGCAGGCGCTGCTGATTTTGACCAGTTTGCTTTCAGACACGTTGCACAGTTTCAGGAAAAGTGTCCCCACAGTATAAGAAAGAAAAGGAACAAGGTTGGTTGAAAAGAAATAGGGTTGGTTTTAATTGTTTTTGGTTGTTGTTTGTTTTAAAATACACAATCAGTCTACGGTGTTACACTGTCAATGATGTCTGACAGTTCCTGAAGGAGCTCGTCCGTATCCTTCTCACTGTCCATGTCAATGTCTCCTAACTCATCTCCAATGATTTCCATCATCAACTTCTCGATGTCATCATCCTCACAGACGAGCGCTTTCCCTGCCTCTGTGCAGGGAGGTGTTTTAACTGCACCAACGGTCACCAGGCTGTCCCCAGGCAGGGCTGGAACGATGGCCTAGGAAGAAACAAGACAGTGTGTATGAAGCACGGCTCAGAGCTTCCTAAGTAGCTTCTTTTCCCAGAGAAGCTGTGGATGCCCCATCCCTGCAGGCATTCAAGGCCAGGCTGGATGGGTTTCAGGCTGTCAGATCTCGTGGCTGGCAGCCCTGGCCACAGCAGGACAGCTGGAACACTGGATGATCTTTGAGGACTGCTCCTCCATCCCCTGGGCACTGCTGAGCCTGAACCCAAATACAGAAGCACGGGGCTCCTGAAGAAAGCCTTCTCTTGAGGGTTACAATGACCTGGGGTGCTTTTAACAGCGCAGCATTCGTGGACAAAATCCTTCACACCACAGAGCAATCTGAGAATTGTGGAATCACAGAGTCTTACATAATCCTTGCTCTACATCTACCCAAAGTAGAGGTCTTCCACAAGTACCCTGTGAGACACCTGCTGCCTTCAAAGGAAACAGCAGACCTGCAGAACACTTGAAATGTCTACCTTGACTTCAAGTGCAGTGTAAACCTTCCGTA